ACAGTTCACCAGATCATTCAGTCAAATTGATTCAAAGTTTTCTATCTAAGGAAAACCAGTTGATTGCATCGACTCGAAGGCAATCCCTCACACTAAGCATGCTTGTAGCGACAGTCGAGAGGAAAAACTCCCTTTTAACAGGAAGAAACCTCCAGCAGAACCAGTGTCAGTGTGAGCGGCCATCTGTTAAGGTCGACTGGGGTTCAAAGAGACAGAAGCAGAGATACAAAAGGCAGCTGTAAAAGTCGTCCCGGTCCAGGAAACACACAGCCAGGCAGACGAGCTCTGAGCCAGCTCCCATGTTAGAGGATGAAGAGAGCACATCCGGCCAGTCACAGTCAGAGAAACAGGACTACACTGGAAAAGCAGACCGATCTCCAAAATCTATAAACAATAATGTTGATGGCAGCAGCACAGCTGATATTTCTCTCTCCTTTTGCCTTTATGTTTTGAAAAAAAAAAAAAAACCCCAAAAAAAAACTGATGTGTAATTAAGAATCTTGTATGTAGAATGTCGAGTGCCACAATACAACAACTAATGAAATAATGTTTTAAATGTTACTAATTCATTAAAACTTTAAATATATATTATTATTACTATTATCAGTATTATTATTATTATTATTATTAATTACAGATATATTTAATTTACAGTTGATTTACAATTCCATGTTCTTCTGCTTAAAGCTACAGTGTGTAATAATTACAGGGATATACAGTCAGAAATATAATATATTATACATAACTATGTTATTTATCATCATCTACGAGCTCAGCCTCTTAACCTTAACATTTGCGTTGCCTTAGAATTCGTTATTTATAATTACATAGGAGCGGGTCTCGCAGCCATGGAGGCAGACATCTTTGCGCTACGGCAGCGCAGAGCCAACAAACTAGCGATTGCGAGATCGCCCATTACGCTCGAAAGTAACTACGGCAAGTTGTTTAAGTCTACATGAAATCTATACCCTACACAGACTAATGAAATACTATCTATAAAATTATCTATGTAAACAAACCTCATCACTTGAGAAGGTAGGTGATGCGGACGTCGTGGAAGACATTTTGTCCCGTAACGCTCGCCATACTGTTGGGGGGTAGAAGCGGTTGGGGGGAGATGTTCATGTTGCTGCGGTCTGTAGTCTGGACGTTAGATGTCGCTGAAAATTACACACTGTAGCTTTAAGCAAATCATGAATTTTTTTCAACTGTCACACATCAATCAAAGTCAAAGAGGCAGGACGATTCCATCTTTATATTTATTGATTTATTGATTGATTGACTGTATTGATCTCACAGAGGAGAAATGTACTCGTCACATCAGGTCAAATAGTCAAAAAGAGATTAAGGGAGTGTGAGGTTGCATTAGTCAGTAAGCGGAGCAAACGTTGATTCTGCTGAAGTCTTTACGCAACAGTAAGCTTTGTCATAAGTTTATTAGAGAGATAGGATGATGGTTAACGGAAAATCCTAATGTTCAGGCCAGAATTAGTTATAGTTAGGCCTCTAACATTCATACATTTATAATATGAATTAAATTACCTAAAGGCATCTGATTCCTTTATATGATCTGTGAGGCTGACTGTATCTGTAGCAGCAGTGATAGAAAGTGGCATGGCTCAGTGCATGATTCCCAAATCTGTCCTTTTCTGTTTCTCTTCTTAAACACGCCTCCTTTAATCTAAGTTAAGGGTCTGGTGGTGTGAATTAGAGGGATGAGCCTTTTTTTTAAAACACCTAAAATAAGTAAGACAAAATGTGTCCGGTCACCTTTTAAGACATCAGTGCATTACAGTCCACATTTTTTTCTGATGCCACCAGGCTGAAAAATGTCCCAATGTCTCATCTTGACCTGCTGCTAGGTCCTCATTGGACCGGTCATATTAGTTCTGGATGAATATTGACAGGATGTGGAACAAAAAAAGGATAAGAAAGTTTTTAAACCCAATTCCATTAATGATGTACGCATTGGGCCTTACCCGGCCTTGGTGAAACATCCAGGATGCACTGATCAGGCTAGATCAACCTTCGCTTTATCACTTTACTCTGTGAAATAGGCCTCTGTTTTGGTATCAAATAAACAGTTTCTCAGCTGTAAGATTTCATAATGGAAACACAAAAAAGCTTCAGGAGATTTTAAAAATACTCAGGAGTCTTTAATTGAAAGACATCTTTCAGTTCACCCTTGTCCTGAGCAAGCATGTGGCAACAGTAGACAGCAACAAGTCTCTTTACACACAATACTCCTTCTGCAGGACCCAGCTTAGAATGAGCAGCAGCCTCTGCTGACTGTAATACATGCTTAGTCTTTATTCAGGTCCTTAATTTACTTGCTAACAAACTGCTGCTAATGAGGAGATTTAATGGTTTCTGTTAAGCAGCACCAGTTAAGCATAAAGCACATGTTGTTTCTTAATTCTTGCAGTGCATGTTGTTTCCATAACAACCCAGAGCTAATGTATACATAATAGATTCGGCGTAGCTATTCAAAATCCCAGATTACTGTATTTGAGTAAAGAACAGCCATCTGAATTACTTATTTACACTGTTAGTTTAACAAAATCAGGCAAGAACAAATGTTACTTACTCAGCAACATGTAAAAAATACATGTTTAATGTTACAATACAACTTTTCTCTTCTTTTGTGACACCTAAAACTAAACTCCAGTTTAAGATCCCTGTAAAGTATTCACCTCCCTTTTAATTAATACCCCTTTGTTTACCTTCAACCTTATAATTTGTGTTGTTTAAGCTAACGTTTGAGATGAATCTGGGTGAAATAATCTAAACTAGTGCAAATGTAGATGTAAATGTAAAAAAATATGTATTCAAAGAAAAATAATGATAAAAGTAGATTAGTAGCCTCCTTGCTATCAAGCCCCTAAAAGTTCAACACAACCTATTACCTTCACTTAGACTCTTTACTTAAACTTTTATTGTCATGTTGTATACACAGAGTGTATACTAAACAAAATTTTGTTTTGTACAGCTGTCATGACATTTCCATTTCTTAACATAAAGTCACTGTGTGGTCATTGATAAAATACAATCTTTAATATTCTTCAGGAGTGTCATTAAATGTATCATTGTCAAACAGAAAACAAATTGCACCACAATAAACCTGGCAAGACAGGACCGGCCATGGAAACTCAAAGATCAGGCAAGCAGGGCTTTTTGGAGGCTTCACAGAGACTCCAAAGTCACATGGTCTTGCAGTGCAATAACACATTAATAACTGTGTATGATCTGGTTGAACTGTGAAGTGCCTTGAGATGACATGTGTTGTGAATTTGGCGCTATATAAATAAACTGAATTGAATTGAATTGAAT